AGAAGAGAATTCTATTATAGCCCATAATCTTCTTCTTCTCTGATGAATTATTTATTTACAAGATCAAAGAGACATGGTGAAAAGGACTCACTCAACAGCTCATATTCGTTTTGGAACGTCCTTCATTCTTCTCTCTGTATCTTGATCTAGACATTGTTTGTGGCATGCATTTGTTTTCAACGTACGGTAATATGTTTCTTGTCCTCAAATTCTTCCTGCTGGTCGAATAAGCTAATGATGAGTTGATTAAACTCTTTAATAAAATAAGAAGTATACTGTTTACCATCGAGGGGATTGTAGTCTCGGATAATTAAAGTTGAGATCCTAAAATTTAAAGATTTTGAGTTTTCATCCCTTCCCCCCCTCCCTTTTCTCCTCCCTTATTTTTTAAATCTTACCCCTAACCTGTTAGGGGAAAAAAATTACATTATTTATTCGAGTACCTAATAATTTCTTTTTGCTCAGTAAACATGAGTCCTCTAAGGCATAAAATTACTATGTTGATTTGATCCTAATTTGGACTGAGTAGGATCAAATCAAGAATATTTATGTGAGCATTATATTATATCTTAAAGAGTGCCAAAATTCACATCTCGTCATTTTTAATTAAAAAATGCATGGTGTCAAGTGACCTCTGCCTTACATCTTATTAGTTAAATAAATTCTCTTAATACAGTAAATAAATGAAGATAATCATCTAAGCCAATTCACCTCATAAAGGTTATATTATCAATGTCCATTTCAGTTTTGATTTTGATATTGATGGCAGTATCCTTCAAGCATACCTATGAGTAGGAAGGGTAAAGTGATCAAACTTATGTAGTTTAGTAATTAAAGGTGAGATCCCCCAGCTTAACTACTAATTACATGCGGTTGCATGTCAGGTCGAATCCTGCTATGCTAAAATTGTTGTGTATTCTTGGGTCTGCACAGTCGGAAAAACTGGAACACCCATTGTATTGATAGAAAAAAAAGAAAGAGGGATTAGTCTGGCAAACAGCCCCTGTGTTGACGAAATAAAAAAAGATTATTCTAGCAAGACTAGAAAACCCCATGTGTTGACAAAGAAAAAAATAAAAAGTACTTAAAATTCTTGGGTCTGTATAGTCGACAAAACTGGAACACCTACTGTATTGATAGAAGAAAAAAAAAGACGATTAGTCTGACAAACAGCCCCTGTGTTGATGAAATAAAAAAGATTATTCTACCAAGATTAGAATAAAAAAAAAAAAAAGTGACTAAAATTGAGACTTCAGAAAATAGAGGTCCTATGTTCAATTCCTCCCTTCCTGCTTTCCTCCACCTTGCTCCTTCAAATTCCACCGCTCTCCTGCTACTTATATATATATATATAACAGAACAACTGTGCATTAGTGAAATTAATACGAGTGGTATTTTATTTATTTATTTTTTTTTGAAATGTACTTAGCAAATTCAGTGGTATTTGTGTTTTGAAAGACGCTTGGTGAATTCATGGAAATGCACATACAGACGTACCTTTCAAGTTCATCTTGCAAAATGCTAATTACTAGTATTTAGATAAAGGTCAGCTGAACTTACAAAAGCGAGAGGAGAGGTAGAAATTTCATCATTTGAAACCCTCTCCTTCTTTAATTTCTTCACTTCAATTACTTCTCATCGAATAGAACGCCCTCTGTCTTCATCCTTCGAAACTACAAACTTTAAGTAATAAAATACTCTTTGAACATAAACATTTACTTGGACTGTAGGTTGGAGGTTTAAATCCCACCTGCAGCAAAAAAATCTAAGAATTATGTCAAAACACTCATTTGATCTAATAAGATCTGTGTACCTACTAATAGATTCTCCTTCCCTGTAGTTTAGCATAGATAGATTATATAATAGTCGTCATCTCTAGAAAAAAAAAAAAAAACATTTTATACTAGTTACATTATCGTAAATGTGAACTATATGCCGAATTAATTCGTCACTAATTTGTCAAGCAACCAGACATATTTATTTTCAACTTTCTGTTAATCACGAACAAAAGTACAAACTACAGTAGCTTCGTGCAACGTGTAAACCAGAAAGAGAGCCAAAGAAAAAAAAAATTTTGGGTAAGAAAAAGAAAGAACAAGATGGCTGCCGTTTGTCATGAATTGTCCACACCACCAAGAAAACGCTGGCGAACCTATTTGGAAGGTGAGTTTTTTAGGTGTTTGTCTAAAATTTTACTATAGTTTACTGTAAAAGTTTTTAAAAATATTTTTGAAGTATGTTTTTTTTTTAATATTTTGAAGTGTTAAAAACTGTGAAATTTTTTTTGAAATTATTATAACTAAAATTTTTAAAAAACTTATAACGATAAACTTAGCAAAAAACTTGGCTTCCAAACATGAATATACTAGGAAACATCCAGTCCGTGATAAGACTCTGCCGTTCATCTTTGGACTTGGACTATTGTGACCTCTCAATGAATTAGAGCAACAAACTTACTGTTGACGCAAATGCCTTCACACAGCTACTTCAACACTTCCATTTTCCTACATCTATAAGAAGCAGTGCAGAAAACCCACAAGGAAGTGAAGAGATATGGAAATCCTATATAGCTTAGTTGCAGTATTATCTGCTTCTTTTCTTGTCATATTGTCATGGAGAATCTTAAACTGGGCTTGGTTCAAGCCGAAGAAGCTGGAGAAATGCCTCAGACAACAGGGTTTGAGGGGAAACTCTTACAATCTTGTGTTTGGAGACATGAAAGAGACTGTCAGGATGATCCAAGAAGCCAAGTCCAAACCCATCAACTTTACCAATGATATTGTCTCCAGAGTCATGCCGTTCATTGATAAAACCATCAAAACTTATGGTATGTTTTACTTGTAAATACAGCTATTTAAAGTTTATACTCATTTTATCTTGAATTACGTGCTTTTCATTATCCAAGTATTAATTGGTTATACATGGTTTGGTATCTGATAAGCTAGTGTATTTATGTTTTTCTCTCGAAGTACTAGTGAGTTATCCTAATTGATTGATGATCCGCAAACAACTGATTATCGAGGACTTTTTCTTTTCTGAAAATGTGGTGAAACATGTCCGTTTTGCACCTTGAAGGCCAATTTTATCTTTAGTAAATGGTTATGCTTCTTGATTAGTCTTCACTGTCATGTTTGGATTTGCCATGTAGGTGAAAATTCCTACACATGGGCTGGACCAATGCCTGCAGTCCTGCTCATGTACCCTGAACATATAAAGGAGGTCATGAACAAAAGTTTCAATTGTCTGAAGCCTCCTGGTAATCCACTAACTAAGCTACTTGCTACGGGACTTGCTAACTATGAAACTGATAAATGGTCCAAACACAGGAAGCTGATTAGTCCTGCTTTCCATCTAGAGAAAGTGAAGGTATTTTCTACTTTATCTAGTCGGTCTAAAAAAAAACCATATACTTTTTGAGATTTCAGGATGCTACTGTTAAGGCTGTTTATTATGAGTTCAAGAATTGAAACAGTATTAAGTCTCTGTTTAAGATAAACATACTATTTGACCAAGGCTAATTAGCTTTCTTCTAATTGTTACTTCTAGTTTATGCTCCCGGCATTTCGTTTGAGTTGTTTTGAGATGGTGAGCAAATGGGAACAATTAGTCTCGGAAAAGGAATCCTGTGAATTGGATGTGTGGCCTGAGCTTCAAGCTTTAACAAGTGATGTAATTTCAAGAACAGCATTTGGAAGCAACTATGAAGAAGGACAGAAGATTTTTGAACTTCAGAAAGAACAGGCTGAGTTGATCTTGCTAGCTGCGCAATCACCTTATGTTCCGGGATGGAGGTACATTATCAGTGTTTAAATCTTTTATTTTGGTCGGTGTATCTCTTGATTTATTGTCTGTTTTTGAACAGGTTTGTGCCGACTAAGAGGAACAAAAGAATGAAGGGAATTGCGAAGGAGGTTCGGTCATTAGTGATGGATATGATAAATAACAGAGTGAAGGCAATGAAAGCGGGGGAAGCTAAGAATGATGACTTATTGGATATACTATTAGAGTCCAATTTCAAGGAGATTCAACAACATGGAGATAAGAAATTTGGAATGACTTTAGATGAAGTCATTGAAGAGTGCAAGTTGTTCTATTTTGCTGGACAGGAGACAACCTCATCCTTGTTGGTCTGGACTTTGATTCTGCTGAGTAAGCATCAAGACTGGCAGGATCGTGCCAGAGATGAGGTTCAGCAGGTTTTTGGCAGCAAGAAACCGGAGTTTGAAGACTTAAATCACTTGAAAGTTGTAAGTTTGTTACACAAAATTGAAATCCTTTGTTTCGATTACAGTTTTTCTGTTTCTCATATTATAATAAGAATGTTAATCTCTATCTTTGATGCATCACTACCTTTTTTGATAGATCACAATGATTTTGAACGAGGTTCTGAGGCTATATCCACCAGGTGTAATGCTTGGTCGAATGACTACTGAAACAACCAAATTAGGGGAACTAACTTTACCAGCTGGAGTGCAGCTCCTGTTGCCTGCAATCCTTCTGCATCACGACAGTAAGATATGGGGTGATGATGCAAAAGAATTCAAACCAGAGAGATTTAGTGAAGGAATTTTAAAGGCAACTAAAGGGCAGCTGACTTATTTTCCATTTGGTTGGGGACCCCGGATCTGCATTGGACAGAATTTTGCGATGGTAGAATCAAAGTTGGCATTAGCTATGATCTTGCAGCGCTTCTCTTTCGAGCTTTCTCCTCTGTATGCGCATGCTCCTCACACAATCATCACTCTCCAACCCCAGCACGGTGCTCAGCTGATTTTGCGCAAACTCTAGTGTACAACAAGATACAATAAATTTATCCATGATGTGAGAATAATGACTTCAGGACATGTTTTGTGTTGTATTATGTAGGTCCAAGAACTGTGTGGACGATAAATCTAGGCTTGCATTAAGGACGAGGCTTTGACATTGCAGCTCAGGGATTGTTTAATTCTTATTGCGGTGTTATTAAACTACTTTAAAATGTTAAGTACATAGATCCATAGGTGGAGTCAGAGCTTGCCACATTCATGATTTGTTACATAAGTATTGTATGGTCAAAGCCAAAGAAGAAAATTTTCTACAAGTGCTGCATGGGTATGATGAGCTTTCTACTTTCACTGAGCCTCCAAACCTCTCCAGATTGTCCATTTGGTCTAAGGTTGAGCATTTTAAGGAGTCGAGGCTATTTTGTCCACAATTATCCACTCTGCTATTTATTAATCTGTTTAGAAATGACTCTGAGTCATTCTTGGCTGATGCCTCCTTTGTCTTCCAAATTTACAAAGGTCTTAGAGTCTTGGATATGGAGCAAATTGTTCTGCGGCACAAGGTTTTTCCAAGCGAGGTAGTATCGCTTGTTGAGCTGCGGTACTTGGCTATGCAAGGTGAGATGAGGGTCATCCCGCCCTCTGTAGCCAAACTCTCAAATTTAGAAACTTTTCGCGTGATATCTGATTACGGTATTGTTTCATTGCCAAATACCTTGTGGAGCATGACCAAGTTGAGGCATCTACATATTGAGGGCTATGATGTCGTATGGTCTTTGCCAAGAGAAAATCTTGAGAACAATTCTGGCTTGCTTAATTTGGACACATTTTCCACCTTAAGAGTTTCTTTGGACCAAAGAGTGGAAAACATACTGAAAAATATTCCAAATGTGCGCCAGCTAAAAATCAAACTCTCGAAGGCAAAGAAATCTACGACTATAGGCTACTGCAACATGAGTGGACTAGAAAGTCTAGAATCACTCGAAGTGTGGGCAACGTCACTGCCACCGGATCACGTTGAGTTCTCTTTCCCATCGACCTTAAAAAAACTGGTCCTCATAGGATTGAACCTACCCTGGAGTAAAATTTCATTGATTGAGGAACTGCCCAATCTTGAGGTCCTTAAATTACTCTACGACTCCTTCAAGGGTGAAAGATGGGTCCTGACAGAGGGAGGGTTCCGTAAACTCAGGTTCTTGGCTTTGGAAAATTTGGATGTTGTCGAGTGGACAGACACAGATCCTGATGATCATTTCCCCCGTCTTGAGAAGTTACTGTTATCAGGACTTTCCAAATTGGAACTGATGCCATCTTGTTTAGAGCAGATTTCAGCTCTTGAATTGATTGAATTTCGAAGTTGTAAGGCCTCTGTTAAGGATTTGGTACAGAAAATTGAGGAGGAGCAAAAGGACTGTGGAAATGAAGATCTGAGGATCATCCCCTAGCCAGTGCACAGAATCTTTTGGGGCCAGCTTCCGCATCAGATGTTGTGAGGTATGTCCCCCTGTCAATGTTGAATTAGGCAGTAGTAGATTATTTAAATCTTTTCCAAATAGTTATTGGAGCATGCTGATAATAAGCATTTAAATTAGATGAGGTAACTCTCAGATAGACATAGGTAAAAAATTGATCATGCAGTTAGGAAATTTGTTGACTGGAGGTATTTGTGTTAAGAAAAGTAGCTAATGCTTGTTTTATAACCAACATGCACTAAACATGGGATGGTTGCTGTAACATTTGTGATTCAACTCTTCAAATTTTGTGATGCATTGGATAAGATGGGAGAAAATGAGGCGTAATATGTTGCCTTGGCTGCTTTTGGAGAAAATAAGGATTGTCTTTTCCTCTGTAACTCTCTTTCTATTAGGTAATGCCTCGAGCAAATTCATCTGGCTAATTGTATTGACATAATGATAATCTAGTAGGCCTCGTGTAAACAGACATTTTGTTCTGCTGGTTGTAATTCTTAAATTTCTTCGCGTCGTGACCTTAATTCTTTATTGCTTTCTGTTAGAGCAGCATTACGGTGTTGAGCATTGGATAAGTGTTCTCAAAGTAAGTTCCTCAGATTCAAAGCTTTCTGCGGCTACTTCAGCAATCAGTCAGCTGTTGCTATGGTTTTTGGTGGAGTTGCTCATCTGTGTGGCTTTCAGCGCTTGTTAGGTGGTCGATGGTGTTTGTCAGTCTAGGTATGTTTGGCGGAGTTGCTTGTTAGTGTAATCTCGGACGGGCGATGGGCGTGCCGAGAACCGCACTGGTGTCAAGATTTCGAGCACAAGCAAAGCAAGTACTACTTATTTCCTCTTGACAAGGAAGAGTAATTCGGTTGAAAGATGCAAAAATTGTTCGGGTAACATTTGCTGCTGAAGTTAGTGATTTTTGTGTCTTTTCTTTTCTTCTGTTGTGTGAAGTTGCCTAGCAGGTAGAGTTATGAACGTGACTCTGTGAAAGACATATTTGGAAGACCTGTACTTCATTGTCGACATGAAAGAATGAGTATACTGTTTTTTTTTTTTTTTTGGGTACCGGACTTCACATTGTGACGCTGAAAGCATGTTCATGATTGGTGAAATCAACGGCCTAGGTGTCGAATCGGAGTATGAAACATTTAGAAGCATAATTATCTTTCCAAAAGTTTCCTCACTCAATCCAATGAACAACAGTTCAACACCACGGGAGAAGGCCTCAGGCCATGTATCCTCTTCAAAGATAGCACATGAATTAGAACCGTGGTCGACATTACTCCTCCGAGATAAGACATAATCCTCCAACAAAGTTTATTGTCGCAACACATGGAACTTCAGTGAAAATTTTGTGAGATAAACAGGGATGACAGAGAGTAGGATAAAATCTGATATTCACGGGTAGTCGACTTGATGGTTAATTCGATTAGATAACCGATGGATAATCCATTAACATTTGATATTGATGAGAAATTATCAACAGATAACCCAATAGGGTTTGGTAAAAGAATTCTAACAACCCAGTAGATGATGCCCAACATACATATATATATATATATATATATATATATATATATATATATATATATAGGAATTAATATCTCTATAAACTTGCTCATTCTCTTTAGAATTCATCGTGAAAATTTTGTGAGATAAACAGGGATGACAGAGAGTGGATAAATCTTATATTCACGGGTAGTCGACTTGATGGTAATTCGATTAGATTACCGATGGATAATCCATTAACATTTGATATTGATGAGAAAATTATCAACAGATAACCCAATAGGTTTGGTAAAAATTCTAACACCCAGTTAGATGTGCCCAACATATATATATATATATATATATATATATATATATATATATATAATATATATATATATATATATATATATAGGAATTAATATCTCTATAAAACTTGCTCATTCTCTTTAGGAAGTATGCTAAATTTACTTTTCATAAAATTTTCACTTTCTCTATGGCTCTACTCAAGTTTGAAATTCAATATAGTGTGTGGATTTGACATGATGTGTATTGATTTTCGTTTGACAAAAATTAATTCTATTTTTTTGAGTAGTTTAGATTAATGAGTAGAGGATACCTAATGAATAATCCAAATATGAAATCAAGGGGTTTGATAATGAGAATTAAAACCCACAAAATTACCTGATAGAATTTGATTTGGTACGTATCTAGAAGGGGAAACTATGGTTGCAATTGAATCGAACTGATCGTAAGCGGCTCAAGTCCAAGAGCTAACCAAGTCAAACTCAAATTCGAACTCGATTTCAAAAATACTAAATTCATTAGTTCGCGAGTCGAATCGAACTCGATTATATATATATATATATATATATATATATATATAATATTTTAATAGTAAAATTATATATATACCTAATATTTTATTATTTATTAAAAATATTATTATTTTATTTAATTTTAAAAAATAAAATAATTATTATTATTTTTTTAAATTCGAGTTAGAACTTTACATTTTGAATTCATCGAACTTAAACTCGAGTTCAAATTTCATAAATTTAGATTGAGATTCGGTTCGATTAGGCCAAAATTCGGTTCAATTCGTTTGCACTCCTATTTCAGAAAATAATGAATAAATAAATAAAATCCAATCTAGAAGGATGAAAATACCAAAGAGAGCAAAAACTGGCCAGTCAATCGCCAACCTACATGGTACGGAGTAGGGATGTAATCGAGTCGAGTCGAGCTCGAGTATCGCCATACTCGAGCTCGACTCGTATGGGCTCGAGTCAAATTCGAGCCTTATCGAGCTTGATCGAGTTCGAGTTACAAAATTTCATTTTCTTGATAATTTTTGAGCGAAAAGACATTATTGCCCTTTTAAAATTTTTATACGACTTGAAACATTTCGTAAATTCAACAACTCTTTTGGACATAAGAGTAATATTATAATAATAACATATTAAAGAATTAAAATTAAAAAGCTTGATAAGGCTCGACGAGCCTTCGACTATTGCTTCTGGATGCTCGAACTCAACTCGTTTAACTTATCGAGGCGCTCAAACTTGACTCGAATTCGGTCAACCCGAGTTCGAGTCAAATTTTTGACCGAGCTCGCAAGCAATTCGGTTCGATTACATTCCTAGTACGGAGTACTTGCATTGTCTTTGTTATACCGTCATAGATGACGTCATCGCTGCTTCAGTCCAACTTAATAGTCTTTATTATTAATTATTACGACGTTATCACCACAACCTATGAGTTCTTTAGCCAACGGACGAGCGCATCTCTACATTGTCCAAGAAAACGACTCGTCACACTCCCCCTCTCTTTCCCCCCTTATAGAAATTCTATTGTTGCGACTTAAAAAAAAAAATAAAAGAAAGAAAACGGCTCGTCAGTCTCTTAATTCTCGAAGTTGCGTTTCTCGCCCTCTTTCTCTTCAGTCTGTAGCACTGAATCTACTGATACAATCGAACGACTAAAGACCCAAAAGAAACTTAGTGATTAAGCAGAGGAGAATTCTATTATAGCCCATAATCTTCTTCTGATGAATTATTTATTTATAAGATCAAGAGACATGGTGAAAAGGACTCGTTCAACAGTCCATATTCGTTTTGGAACGTCCTTCTTGTTCTCTCTGTATCTTGACCTAGACATTGGTATAAAATATGAGGTTGTTTGTGGCATGTACTTGTTTTCAACGTACGGTAATATGTTTCTTGTCGTCAAATTCTTCCTGCCAGTCGAATAAGCTAATGATCAGTTGATTAAACTCTTTAATAAAATAAGAAGTATGCAGATAATTAAAGTTGAGATCCCAAAATTTAGAAATTTTGAATTTTCTTCCCTATCCTCTTTACTCTTTAAATCTCACACCTAACCTGTCAAGAGAAAAAAATTACAGAGTAACTAATAATTTCCTTTTGCTCAGTAAAATGAGTCCTCTAACTATGTTGATTTGATCCTAATTTGTACTGAGTGGGATCAAGTCAAGAATATTTATGTGAGCATTATATTATATCCAAATTTCACACCTCGTCATTTTTAATTAATGTAGCGATCAATGAATAAGGGTGTGGATTAAGTAACATGCGTGGAACACCTCGTCGTCGGTTCGAATCCTACTATGCTAAAATTGTTGTGTTTTCTTAGGTTTGTATAGTCGGAAAAACTGGAACACCTATTGTATTGATGGAAAGTAAAAATGAGGGATTAGTCTGGCGAACAGCCCCTGTGTTGACGAAATAAAAAAGATTATTCTAGCAAGACTAGAACACCCCATGTGTTGACCCAAAAACAAGAAAAAAAAAGTAATTAAAATTCTTGGGTCTGTATAGTCGACAAAACTGGAACACCACCTGTATTGATAGAAAAAAAAAAAAAAAGACGATTAGTCTAGCAAACAGCCCCTGTGTTGATGAAATAAAAAAAGATTATTCTAACAAGACTAGAACACCCCCGTGTTGACAAAAAAAAAAGTAATTAAAATTAAGACTTTAGGAACTAGAGGTCCTATGTTCAGCTCCTCCCTTCCCGCTTTCCTCAATTTTTTTTTTTATCGATACGATAAATTATTCTACACTAAGAGGGAGAGGGAGGACTTGAAGAGGTCCAACGATAATCTGGAGAGGATCAAACTACTACCAGACCATACGGATGCACTATGCACCTGCCTGAATTTTTTAAACAGAGCCACTTTTTTAATGTGATAAATTGATGGAAGGCAAGGTTGATTTTTTAATGCACGTTTTTAAGGTTGAACCTTGCCTCCCACCCCCACCAAAATTTAATGCATTGGTGGTGACTACCAGCCCAAAGGCCTGTGATTTTCCTCCACCTTTTTCGGTCAAATTCTACAGCTCTCCTCTGCTGCTCCTTTATATATATATATATATATATATATATATATATAACAGAACAACTGTGCATTAGTGAATATAATACTAGTGGTATTTTATTTATTTATTTTTTGAAACGTACTTGGCAAATTCAATGATATTTATATTTTGAAAGACTTTTTTTGATGGAAGGTCAAGGGTTCGCACCACCAAGCCAAAGGCCCAGTGGCGTATTTATATTTTGAAAGACGCTCGGTAAATTCGTGGAAATGCACATACAGACGTACCTTTCAATTATCATCTTGCTAATTAAGTACTATTGAGATAAAGGTCAGCTGAACTTACAAAAGCGAGAGGAGAGGTAGAAATTTCATCATTTGAAACCCCCCTCCTTCTTTAATTTCTTCATTTCAATTACTTCGCATCGAAGGGGACGCCCTCTGTCTTCGTCCTTCGAAAGTTCAAACTTAAAGTAATAAAATACTCCTTGAATAAAAACATTTACTACTAATTCTTTTTTTTTTCCGTCGAAACAATAGGATTATTACTACTACTTACATCACCCTAAATGTGAACTACATGCCGAATTAATTCGTCACTAATTTGTCAAGAAACTAGATATTTATTTTCAACTTTCTCTTAATCAGGAACAAAAGTACAAACTACGGTAGCATCGTGCAACGTGTAAACCAGAAAGAGAGCAAAAGAAAAAAAAAGTTTTTTTTTTTTTTTGGTTAAGAAAAAGAGAGAACAAGATGGCTGCCGTTTGTCATGAATTGCCCACGCCACGCAGAAAACGCTTGCGAAGTATAGTAGGAATCATCCGGTTCATGATAAGACTGCCATTCATCTTTGGACTTGGACTATTGTGACTATGGTTCAAAGTCGCGGTCGCGGCTTGGATCGTTTCACATTGGTCTCGGCATATCGGTCGCGGTCTCGACGAGACGCGAATTTTTGAAATATTTAATATTCTAAAAATTGTAAAAAATATGATAAACGAAAATAATTAAAAAATTTGTAAAAATAATAAAAATTCGAGTTGACTCGGGATGACTCAGAGTGACTCGGTGAGACTCGGCCGTTTCAACTCTTTACTGTGACGTCTCGGCTAGTCATGTATTTCGATATCGTTTGGTCGCTATCTCGTCTCTAACTAGGCTGAGACGGTGACGACTCGGCCGAATCGTCTCGGTCTCGGCCGAGTCTTCGAACCATGATTGT